ACACAACGCTAACCATATACACCCACGATATGCACACATGCAGGCACAAATACAAAACTGGCCGGTAAACTTTATCTATCTCTCTCTCTCTCTAGATATCGTCACAAACAGAACTGTCCGGTAAACCGTAGGCAGTGTATATATATATATATACATATATATATATATATATATATATTGTCACAAATAGAACTGTCCGGTAAACAGTAGGCAGAGAGGAAGAAGAGGACAACAAACGAGGGGCTGTGACAAACTGTTTCGTCGGAGTTTCACCGACTCATCAGGAGGCTGAATATATATATATATATATATATATATATAGTCAGAAACATAAGTGTCCGGTAAACCGTTCGCAGAAAGAGAGAAAAGAGGACAACAAACGATGAGATGTGTGAGAAACTGTTTCGTTGGAGTTTGACGGACTCATAAGGAGGCTAAACCATCGACAAACTGACTCAACACACTGAACCCATATCATGAACACGATAGTAAAAAAAAAAACAACCCTCTTCAATTTATTTTTTTCCTTTCTTTGGGCAGAAGAAAACAAAAATAAATGAAAACATATATATATATATATATATATATATATACAGTTTGTCACGACCCGTCGTTTGTTGTCCTCTTCTCTCTCTCTGCCTACGGTTTACCGGACAGTCCTGTTTGTGACGATATATATATATATATATATATATATATTCCCAGATGAGATTCGTGATTGTCAAAATACAACCCGGTTGAAAATTTTATTCCCTCTCTTTCGTCATATATATATATATATATATATATATCGTCACAAACAGAACTGCCCAGTAAACCGTAGGCAGAGAGAGAGATGAGGACAACGAATGAGGGGTTGTGACTATTATATATATATCGTCACAATATATATATATATCGTCACAAATATATATATGGTCACCGGCGTCCGGGATGGGCCCTTGGCAACCGAACCCGAACGGCTGAACGTTTGGGACCCCCTGTCGACGCGTTCAGACGTTCGGTCGAACGCGGAACCAAAAATAAACAAAAAACAAAAAAAAAACAAAGTTTCGAAAAAAATTGTGAACAAATAAATTTGTCATGCAGAAGAATAAACTATAAAGTTTCCAAATTTGTTTCCAAATGTGAACTAAAAATGAAAAACGAAAAAAAAAAATTTAATATGAAAGTAAAAAAAAAAAACGAAAATGATATTATTGTATGGGCTAGCAAGTTTTTGACACCGCCATCTTTCGCAATTTTTTAATTTTTTTTGGCTTCCAAATTGACTTCCAGATTGAGACGTTTGCTCAAACGCGAAACCAAAAAAAAAACAAATAAAACCAAAAAAAAAAAAAAAAAAACGATAAAAAAAAAGGTTACCAAAAATTCTGAATGAATGATATGTCATGCAGAATAATAAAGTGTATATATTCGTATTGCAATGAACCCGGATAATGCGGTAGAAATGGAGGGGCAGACTTGTCATATGGGGTGCGATTGTGTGCATGTCGTCAACAGCATTGGTTCGCCGAAATATATATATATATWTATATATATATATATATATATGTATATATATATATATATATATATATATATATATATATATATATATATATATATATCAGCCTCCTGATGAGTCGGTGAAACTCCGACGAAACAGTTTGTCACAGCCCCTCGTTTGTTGTCCTCTTCTCT